ATGTTTTGTGTCATAATTTTAACTTTTATTGACGTCATAATTTCAATTTATTGCATAATAATGATTTAAAAACCAGATAACTAATACAAAAGTATAAACAACAGACAGAGAGCTCAGAGAGTGTGTGTATAAACGAAATGAAATAGATGTACCGCTCTGCTGTGGTTTTTAAAGTGCTTTAGAAACTCCTCCATCCGTCTACACAAGCACACCCTTCCGCGGTGACTGTCGCATTAAAACAGACTAAAATATAAGAGCAAAAATATTAATATTAACGGCGATCGCCACTTGAGATGCGCGCGCTGAACCAGTCAGCTCTTCTTCAGCGCGTGCGTGTGAGGTCACGTGGATCAGGGGTGCGCGCTGCTGCGCCTTCACGTGGAGCGGAGAAACATTACACCAGAAACACTGTACACAATCTGTAGGTGTTTGTGTTTTATTCTCTTGATCATAAATACGGGTTTAAGGCTAAGCTAACGCATTAGCCGCTGCAAGAAAACAAACCATAAAATCATTCCCGGCTTTTATATTCACACTTTCCTGAGTTGGGTATGGACAAAAGCGAAGGGATTTTAAACGTGTGATTTATATTAGAGTTTATATCATTTGTATTATATTATAATTGATATGATATAATTACAAATCATTATTGTAATAATTTAGATTACAATGTATATATTTAAATGGTCAATCCGTTCGTTGTTGTGAGTTCAGTTTACAAACATTCGAACCGCTGAGGGTTTCAGTCCGCCAATCAGCGCTGCGGATTCCTCAGAAGGCGTTCGATGATTGGACAACTCCATTCGCAAGCTCGACCAATCAGGCGCCGAGTCCAGGGTGCCGTATGTTCTGTGCGTCACGCAGACACGCAGCATAAGGAACAGAACAGAACTTTTTTTTTTTTTTTTTTTTTTTTTTTTTTTTTTTGAACAATTATTCATGTACAAACAGTAAGGCAATAGTAACAATTCTTTACATAATACAAACAAATAATTACAGCACAGGTGCATGAAATAAAATAAACTTCAAATAAATAAATAAAATAAAAATAAAGTAGGGGCTAAGGTTTTTTTGTTAAATCATACTCTTCTATGACAGATAAAAGACTAATTGCATTTTTCTTTTTTATCACTTTGAGGGCTTTTGTAAATGAAACAAATTCACCATGAAATGCACAGAACATTGGTTTCACCTTTTTGATTTGTGTACAAAAAATTTCCCCAGCATAAGGATATTATTAACCAGGAAGTTATCTTTGTTATTATTCATTAAACGTCCATAAATAATGTCCTTTTCAGTGAGGTCTTCGAGGTGAGGTATCTTTGGGTAGAGCCAGTCGTAAATATCAGACCATAAGGCCTCCACAAACATACAGTGAAAAAACAGATGCTCCGTGGTTTCAATATCATCACAAAATAAACATTTATTTGAGTCAAAACCAAATCTATGTCGCAAATATTCACTCGATGGATATATGCCATTTAAAATTTTAAAATGTACTTCTTTAACTTTGGGGGGTAACGGGAATTTTAAATACCCAGTTCTAAGTCTGTGAATGCTATCTTTTGAGAAAGAATGTGAAATTGAGTTTCTATACACTAATAAAGGATAAGAAATGTGATTGAATTTAATTCTAACATTTTTATTTGAAAGTTGGCTTCCTTTAAACTCACGGCCTTCAACTAACAGTACTGGAAGATGTGGGATTATAGAGACAGAATAAGAGAGAATTTCTTTAATTTGACATACGACAGCTTTAGGGATGGCTTTAGTAATAGATTCAAAACTGGCCCGATTGCAATTGAAATTATATTTAACACAAAAATGCTCATATGATATAATTCCAGTATTGCTGTCAATTAAATGGGACACAGCCCAAATACCTTTCTCCATCCAAATCTTGTCAAACAGTGATTTATTCCTGACCATAATATATCTATTGTTCCATAATGGTGTATTGTGTGGTGTAAAATTATGGTTATAAAAAATCTTCCAGTATAACAAAACCTGTTGATGAAATTTGGATAATTTTATCGGCAGACGTTGAACGGTGAAATCACAATTTAGTAAAAATTCTATACCTCCTAATTTCTTAAACAATTCTCTGGGAATATGAAACCAAAAATTATTGTGGTTTAAACAGGATTTCAACCAGTTAATTTTTAGGGTCCCATTTATAGCATCAAAATCAATGGCTTGTAACCCACCATCTTTATAGTCTTTTGTCATCTCTACCCTTCTGATGTAATGGGTTTTCTTTCTCCAGATGTAACCAAAGTTGACCTGATTAATTTTTTAATGGCTTTGTTTGAAATAGCTATTGTATATGCAGGATAGATTAATCTTGATATGCTTTCCATCTTTGTCAAAAATACTCTACCTAATAAGCTTATATCCCGCAAAAGCCAGGAGTTAAGTTTCATTTGACATTTATCTAATACTTTCCACACATTCATATTTTCATTTTCACAGAACAGAACTATCGAAGCATCCTGGGCCTCCATAACACCTCAGCAGTGCCACAGGCTGATTGCCTCCATGCCATTGAAGCAGTCATTTCTGCAAAAGGATTCCCGACCAAGTATTGACTATTGAGTGCATAACTGAACATAATTATTTGAAGGTTGACTTTTTTTTTTTTGTATCAAAAACACTTTTATTGGTCGGATGAAATATGCTATTTTTTTTAGACAGGAATTTTGGGTTTTCATGAGCTGTATGCCAAAATCATCAGTATTAAAACAATAAAAGACCTAAAATATTTCAGTTGGTGTGCAATGAATCTAAAATATATGAAAGTTTAATTTTTATCATTACATTATGGAAAATAATGAACTTTATCACAATATGCTAATTTTTTGAGAAGGACCTGTATAGCCTAGCATGTTGTTTTTAAAAGCAAGTAAAATTATTTGACTTGTGAAATATATCTGATATCCGATATAATGCAATCATTTCACAAGCTTAAAAACAACATGCTACATATAATATAAAACATTTAAAGAGTTAAATTCGTGCATTTTAAGCCAGAGCTAATCTGTGCATGCATTTCACTGCAACTTATTTTTAATACTATTCAACGTATTTGAGTATTTAATGACTGATATCCAATGTAATGCAATTAAAGTATTTGAAATCAAAACATGCTATGTTAACAGATTGGATGGATGCCAAAATAAATTAATCAATCTACGCCAAATGCTTCTGATGTGTTTATGCATTTAATGCTTGATTTTCAGTAACGCTGTGTTTTCTGTCAGTGGATCAGCCATGGTGAAAGGAGACGTGAACAAGCCCAAGGGAAAGACCTCAGCGTACGCGTACTTCGTGCAGACGTCCCGCGACGAGCACAAGCGCAAGAGTCCCGACGTGCCGATCAACTTCTCCGAGTTCTCCAAGAGATGCTCCGAGAGATGGAGGGTGAGCGTCCGCGCGTGTGTCTCGCGTAGGGATGCAACGGTACACGGTAAAATCCCGGACCGTTCGGTCAGCCCTAGGGGTGTGCCGGTTTCAGAATTGGTGATGACGGTTATGACGTGAGTCAAATGTGACGGTTCGTAACATAACCGTCGTCGTCCGGGGGTGGGGGGTTATAGGACGTTCGGTTGAATAACTGTTCGTCTGTTATAGGACAACTCGCTCTTAAAATGAACAGCAAGACAACTAGAATTGAATGTGCTTTCCATTAAATGAATCACACACAGTAAACAAAACCTTAACAAATGAACTTTGCAATTTAGACGCGCAACATGCGTGCCGGTGCGGTGAGACATACATGCTCGGGCAGATTCGGCTTGAAGTCGGTCATCCTCGGACGCGGCGCCGCGCGCGCTGTTACAAAAAAAGCTGTGCACACAGCCAAGCGAAATGGGGTCTTGCGCACCCAACGCGTCATTTTGCCGTGTGCACCTTCGCGCTCGTGCGGACGCGTCGAGTATAAACAAGGCTTTACTCCGTGTCAGCGCTCGCTCTGATCGGTTCGGTAAAGGTGCACAGACCTCTCCCGAATCATCTCCAGCACTCAGCCTCTGACGCACCACTAACTCCGCCTCCGTTTCCCTCGTAAGCTGATATTAGTATTTAAACATTCTCTATGATAAAAAAATGTTTGTAAAAAATATTTTAATAGCACGGTTTTGGCGGTTATAGAGTTCTAATGACGGTGTTCAACTATAACCGTCGGTCTCACGGTTATATAATAACCGTCACACCCCTAGTCAGCCCTGCACGGGACAATCTACCCTCGTGTCCCGCGGGACTTCGGTTTTGCCATTGAGTTCGCGCTGATCCTTTTAGTTTTTGCTTTAAGCCTTGTTTATACTCGACGCGTCCGCACGAGCGCGAGTCTCCACTGACTGCTATATGGGGAGGCTGCAGACCTGGAGCCGGCAGATTTACGCCCCTGGCAGTTTTACGCCCCGACAGTTTTAGGACCCTGTTGTTCCTGATGCGTCCAGTAGAGGGATATACTGCGAAATAACATAATTAAATCGACGCTTACACATTAATAACCCGTCCATAGACTTGACAATTTTGTGTTTTTTGTTAATTTAAATATAAACGTTACAGTGTAGATCTCCACGGATTCAATTTTCTGTAGATATTCAGTTGGGCTTCACTCTCTTCACTCAACCTACAGAAGACTATTTGTTTTTGTGAATTGAAAAATTAAAAATACACATAGTTGGATCAACTATGTGTTATGACAGGTGATGCTATGACCTACTGCAGTTATAGGCCAATTCACCATAGGTTTTTATATACAGGAGACTGAGTGAAATATGTTTTTGTGAATTTATATAAAGTCACATTTAGATATTAACCATATTTAGCCCATTAGACATGCAGTACCGTGTAATAATATGGATCCTCGATTAAATATCTGCTGTACTATTCTATTGGTCATCATACAGCTACAAAACAGTGTCCTACACAGCATTTTATGAAGACAAACACAATTTATCCCTTTTCTAAAATTCCATGGGCCATTTAGAAGATATAGACAATATTGTTGTTCACAAAAAAATATTTATTAACACCATTTATGAATTATGATGACTCCCCTATGGTTTGCCACTCTTCTTTAACTGTTTTTTTTTTCTTTAACTGCTCCTGCTCACTGATGAAACATTAAAAAATGAAACATTAAAAAAGTTAAAAAGGACATCCATGGTGAATTTGACCTTGTCCCTGTGTGTGTGTGTGTGTGTGTGTGTGTTTCCTTAAGTAGCTAAAGCAAACACACCTTTATGAGATCCAAGTTAAAGAGAACTTGGTAAAGACAGAGTATGATAAAACCCACATTAAGTGCACATACCCTACATTTGAGTCCAGATCAGTAAGCTATTTTAAGAAAAAATGTATATTAAGATGTAAATGAGATAATTAGATCATCTCATTTATAAGAAACAACTCAAACCAGAATCTACATTCAAACCATATGGGGAAAGTTTGTAATGTGTTTTAACGTATTTGAGTGAGTGTGCAGTTTAACTCTGTACTTAGAGAGAGAGAGAGAGAGAGATTTACATACCTATTATAAATGTGTCTTTTGTGTGTTCACACCATAGACTGTAAAAAAAATTAACATATTTCCATTATCTACTGTAATATTGCTCTATACACCATGTGGAGTATGTTTTAATGCAAGGAGTAAACAGAGTCTTACCAGAAGAGGCCAAGCTGAAGACAGGCAACAAAAGAAAATTAAAATTAAAATTAATTTTAAATTGAGTAGAGAAGATAGGGGAAGCTAAACCTACACGCGGTTAGTTAAGTTTAAGCCAGATAGAACAGAAACCTGTCAAAATACATTATAGACCCATCCATTATTATATTATATGAATTGATATCTACCTACCCTAGCTCTATCGAGCTAATCGTTTATAAATAATAAATGTTGCATCATTGCTAAAAAACAATAACTTTAGCAGATTATTTAACATACAAATGACAGAATCTATTTTTGTCAGATTTTAATTCTAACGATGTTAATCTTGATTATACGGTATTATTACTTTGTCTTCTGGGCAAGTTTCATCTTCATAAAGACAGAACCATTTAAAGTAATCCTGATTCTAGAATATTCTCCTCTGATATAAAGTTCATTTTTTTTCTTCCTTTAAGAAAATGTCAGAACCTTTAAACTCAAAGGTTTATAAAACAAATAATATAATTGAGTCTGTTGTAAAGAACCTTACATGTTTTTATATTGACAAAATGTAATATTGCATATTTGTGTACCCTAATTCAATCTCTTTTGATGTCCGTTTACCCCCTTTGTTTTTTTGTTAAACAGATAATTTAATCCGTGCAGATCTACACTATAACGTTTATATTTAAATGAACAAAAAACACAAAATTGTCAAGTCTATGGACGGGTTATTAAGCGTCGATTTAATGATGTTATTTCGCAGTATACCCCTCTACTGGACGCATCAGGAACAACAGGGTCGTAAAACTGCCGGGGCGTAAAACTGCCAGGGGCGTAAATCTGCCGGCTCCAGGTCTGCAGCCTCCCCCTACTCACTGACTGCGCGCGCACCTCTTCAAACGGACGAGGCGTTTATACTTGACGCGCTCACCATTGTGTTATTCTGTGAAACGACAGGGGGCGACCTGTCGAGGAGTAATTCTCCTCTAAACCACCAGGAATCAGCAGTGAAGAAGTAGTTTGCCGTTTATTAGTAGTTTATTAATTGCTGATTCATAAAAGAGTAATAAATGCAGTAGGTTTATTGTAGCCTACTTTCACTGCATGTAAACTAGTTAAACAATTGAAGCCTGAGTGTTTAAACCTTAATTTCATCAGCAGGGCTTACTTCTGTTATTGTAGGCTTATTTTGTAAATGTAACCAATTACTTTAGACAAGTGCAAACTGGGTGCTTAATGCAAATGTGTTCCTATTCACAAAATGAGAGGCTTTTATGGTCGCCCATCAATGCAAATGTCTCTGTGTATAGAAGGATCATAAACATGCTGGTACAGACGTCCAGTTCGGCCTGATTCGGCTCGAAGTCGTTCATCTTCACAGAAACACAGAAAGATAACCGGTGCATTGGGATTCCATACACATTGATGTTCTTCCTACTGTGACATTCTGTTTATGCTCATAAGAAAAATAAAACATATTTTTGGGATGAAATAGCAGTCTCTTTCTGCACAAAACATGTACCGAAACCGAACCGAGACCGTGGCCCAAAAACCGAGGTACGGACCGTACCGTGGGCTATCTGTACCGTTGCACCCCTAGTCTCGCGCTCGTGTGTCGCTGAGCTATCCTTAACCGCTGCTCTGTCCACAGGCGCTGAGCGCGGCCGAGAAGAGCATGTTTGAAGACCTAGCTAAAGTGGATAAGGTTCGCTACGACAAGGACTTGAAGACCTACGTGGCGCCCAAAGGCGTGGGGAAGACAGGGAGGAAGAAGGACCCGAACGCCCCCAAGCGCCCGCCGTACGTCCCGCGCAAACACGCCGCATGCTAACGTGCACGTCTCCGTGGATTCTGTTGTTTCCGTGGTTTCTGTTGTTACCGTGGTAACAGGGCACTGGTGCGGTTCCTGTATCCTCTCTCTGTAAATGTTCCTCTTTTTCTGTGTCTTCTGTTCAGCCTCACACACAAACTCCAACAGCCGCGCGGCGACTACACACACTCGCTTCGCTCTCACCCAGCGCGGACACAACCTGACACACACACACACACACCATACGCCAGTGTTTGAGGTACAGCTGCACGAAAATAAATAACATAAAATAAGAAATAGAATAGGAATTTTATTTTACAGTACAATCATATAAAACGACAATACTAATATTATAACTGTTCATTTCTTCATTTTCAAACATAAACCAGCAAGTTTTTATTTCGACGGAGAGCCACGGTGAGCCTTAAAGCTTCTCTTTTGTTGATAAGAGCTTCTCATTGCAACTGTAAATAAACACAGCGCTGCGCTTCACTCCGAAACACACAGCGCACACTGACTGATGTTTGAAAGTCATAATTTCAACATATTGCATAATTATGATTTAAAAACCAGATAACTAATACAAAAGTATAAACAACAGACAGAGAGCTCAGAGAGTGTGTGTATAAACGAAATGAAATAGATGTACCGCTCTGCTGTGGTTTTTAAAGTGCTTTAGAAACTCCTCCATCCGTCTACACAAGCACACCCTTCCGCGGTGACTGTCGCATTAAAATAGACTAAAACATAAGAGCAAAAATATTAATATTATTATATGATGGTTGTGTACAGGCACTGCCAACACACATTTCAGTGCAATCAACTTGAAAAAGTGCATGTACCATTATATGACCCCTTTAAAAGAGACTTTCAAACATCGTAAGGAAAATGCAGGAAGAGAGCCCTCTCAGATGTGCAACAGTTACGCGTGTCTGGACCCCTCTGTCATGTTCAGAGACCCAGACAAGTGCAGGAGGCAGAGCAAATGTGTTGTTCAGACATTTCTGCAGGAAAACCAGCTGACAGGAGGTGTTTTTGCTGGTAGGAATAGTTGTAGAAGAGGCTTTTGGCAAAAGTAAGAGGTCAGCACTGAGAAATATTTTGAATATTTGAATAATGTTGTTAAAGGGATAGTTCGGCCAAAAATGATATTTAAACCATGCATTACTCACCCTCAAGCCGTTCGAGATGCATATGTCAATCTTGTTTCAGACGAACACATTTTCAGTTATTTTAGAAAATGTCTTCGACCCTTCAGTGGATATAATGTGAAGCAATGGGGTCCACCTCCTTCAAGTCCCAAAATGTGCATATATCCTTCACAGAAGTAATCCATCCGGCTCCAGGGGGATAAACGAAGGCCTTCTGACAGTAATCCGTGCGGTTTTGTCGTAAAAATATAGATATTTAAAACTTTATAAATGAAAATATCTGACTTCCGGCAACGATCGACGCGCGTCCACGGGCGATGGAAGTCGGCGTATGAGGTAGGACGTAGCGTCGTGACGTAGAACGAACGCGCCCGCGCAGCCAGAGAGCTATGCAGAGAGCAGAGCAAAACATCACCCGTGAACGCGCGTCGATCGTTGCCGGAAGTCAGATATTTTCATTTATAAAGTTTTAAATATCTATATTTTTACAACAAAACCGCACGGATTACTGTCAGAAGGCCTTCGTTTATCCCCCTGGAGCCGGATGGATTACTTCTGTGAAGGATATATGCACATTTTGGGACTTGAAGGAGGTGGACCCCATTGCTTCACATTATATCCACTGAAGGGTCGAAGACATTTTCTAAAATAACTGAAAATGTGTTCGTCTGAAACAAGATTGACATATGCATCTCGAACGGCTTGAGGGTGAGTAATGCATGGTTTAAATATCATTTTTGGCCGAACTATCCCTTTAACACAATCTGAGTTACTACCAGAACTTTTTTGGTTCTCCTTTTCAGTAGACTTATCTTTTGTTGTGTCCACTTCTTTTTTTTTTCTAGTCAGGATTACATTTTTGAGTGCTTATCTGTTACTTTTGTCATATTCATGTATTCTGTGTGCAGAGGCGTACTTGGTTTTGAAATAGGCTTTGACATTGTCTACCATTATAAACAAATCTAGAGTAGTGATTCTGCTCATTATAACCATTACATATTGTTGATATATTGTAATGATGTATTGCAATGATTTATCAATATATTGTTTTCACTTTTTTTGTTCCAGGGGATGTCATTCTCCAACAATCTGAAGCCTTCCTGCCTGTTGAGTGCAGAAGTGAGGACCTTTACACCAATGCAAAAGAGGCTTGACATCTTCTTGAGCAGTTTCCTTGGAAACTACCCAGAGCTTTTTGCCAGAAGCTCCTGATTTTATCTCATGGACAGGCCACTGTTGAGAGAGGCTTTTCTGTTAATAAAGAGATCGAAACATGCAAGAGGACACTTTAGTAGCACAGAGGCTGGTATGTCACTCGACACGGGGGTGTTGCCAAAGTCCCTTGTACAGGGCCAAAAGAGAAAGGTGGCAGAAGATCACTTGGAGGAACTCATAAAAAGGAGGAGGACTATGCAAACAGTTGCTGAATGTCTTTTCAGAGATGCAGAGGAGGCTTAGGGCAAGGCTGGCAGTCAGATGGCTCCGCTAATACCCAAGTCAAATGCTCTGAGGAGGGCCAGCAAGGAAAAATCAGCTGAGCTCAAGAATATAGAGGAGGAGAATCGGGCCAAGAGAGAAGAGCTGAGATCAATGTAGTGCACACTCACGCATCCGCAAACTCACGTCAAGATGTTTGTGTTTTTTTTTGTCTTCTGTAGTTCAAAAATGCATCTAAGCTGTCTCCAGTACTATGTTCAGTTTGAATAAATAAATTTTCTTTGCAAGTAATTTTGAGACTCTGCGTTTCCTTTGTACGTTTTTTTTATGTCGTGATATAGGTCTTAAATTTCATTCATAATGGTCTTAAAAAGTCTTTAATTTGACTTTGTGAAACCTGCAGAAACCCTGAATAATACAGCAAATAGTAATTTAGTCATTTAAAAAACTAAATTACTAAAAAATATAATAGTATTCAGTAGTTTATATTAATACAGTAATACACTCACCTAAAGGATTATTAGGAACACCAATACTGTGTTTGACCCCCTTTCGCCTTCAGAACTGCCTTAATTCTACGTGGCATTGATTCAACAAGGTGCTGAAAGCATTCTTTAGAAATGTTGGCCCATATTGATAGGATAGCATCTTGCAGTTGATGGAGATTTGTGGGATGCACATCCAGGGCACGAAGCTCCCGTTCCACCACATCCCAAAGATGCTCTATTGGGTTGAGATCTGGTGACTGTGGGGGCCATTTTAGTACAGTGAACTCATTGTCATGTTCAAGAAACCAATTTGAAAGGATTCGAGCTTTGTGACATGGTGCATTATCCTGCTGGAAGTAGCCATCAGAGGATGGGTACATGGTGGCCATAAAGGGATGGACATGGTCAGAAACAATGCTCAGGTAGGCCGTGGCATTTAAACGATGCCCAATTGGCACTAAGGGGCCTAAAGTGTGCCAAGAAAACATCCCCCACACCATTACACCACCACCACCAGCCTGCACAGTGGTAACAAGGCATGATGGATCCATGTTCTCATTCTGTTTACGCCAAATTCTGACTCTACCATCTGAATGTCTCAACAGAAATCGAGACTCATCAGACCAGGCAACATTTTTCCAGTCTTCAACTGTCCAATTTTGGTGAGCTCTTGCAAATTGTAGCCTCTTTTTCCTATTTGTAGTCAAGTCAAATATATTTATATAGTGCTTTTCACAATACAGATTGTATCAAAGCTGCTTCACAGTATCAATCAAAACAACTTAACAGTAGGCTTGCCGCGATAGACGGTGTTGACGGTGTTACCGGTTTTAAGCCCCATCACCGGTGACATCACTTTCCCACCGTGACACCGCGATGTCTTGACTTTTTAAAGTATTCGTTTTTGCTAAAATATTTATTTGAATTAATTAAAAATAGTAATTATCAATTATTTAGTTCAGAAGAGAGCGTACATTATAATTTAAAACTGAACTGCGCAGTGCGTGCAAAGAGCCAGTCATGTCACAGATCAGCAAGCATCAGGAGTCAAATTCCATTTAGCACGTGTGGAGATTTTGTATTCGTCTCTTAGACCCCATTTACACCTGGTATTAAAATGAGATCTGTATCCAGATAATTTATCCGGATAATAAGTGTTCTGATCTTACCGATTCCATTTACACCTGGCCACATAAATGTGTTTTTGCAAAACGGATATAAATCCGACTTCAACTCCCGCGCTATGATTTAATGGATTGCACGCCACCGAAAGCAACAGAGGTGAGCTGCATTTTATTGATCATCAGCTCATTTCAAAATCAAAGACAGCAATAAGAAAAAGTGGCAACAGCCCTGGTAAGATAATTTCGTTTTTTTACTTGAAGATGATTGTGTGTTAAGCGTCTGTGACTTACTTTCACTTTTATTTGCGATGTTTGCACGTTGGCTTGATGAATAGACGCTCAGCTGGTCATCTGCGGTAATGCGTGTTGCAGTAGCGTCGTCATATCTGACATGAAATAGCCTATATAACACTCTCACACGTTTATTTGTTTTAGCATTTTTGGGAGGAGTAAAATATACATATGTGGTTTCAACAACCAGATTGCGTTTACACCTAGTAAAGATCCGAACACAATGCAGCCAGACTACCTCCAGATGTGGTCAGGCAGATCCGATCACAATCCGATCACAATTATTTACACCTTGCATTAACATGCGGTTTTTATTATCTGGATAACTTATCTGGATACAGATTGCATTTTAATACCATGGTGTAAATGGGGTCTTATTTATTTGGTTTTATCTTATTTAAACTTTGTGTAATTTATTTAGGCCTATTTTATTTTCTTATTCGTTAATAAACGTTTTATAGTTCTTATTTGTTTGGGCCCAGTTTGCCGATTTTCACTTTTTTCAGCCTATGCATTGGGTTATTTTTATTCGTTCGTTATGCTAAT